CTTCCTTCCTTCCTTCCTTCCTTCCTTCCTTCCTTCCTTCCTTCCTTCCTTTTTCCATACTACCCCAAAAATACATTTTCCACATGAAAACAGGAGAGAGCTTTGCCAACAGTCAGCTTATGCAATGGTGGCATTCAGCCGGTTCACACCAGTTCTGGAGAAATTTCTGAGCACTTCGGTGAACCGGTTGTTGGAAGAAATATCCTTCCAACAGCCTTTTGTTTTTCCCACTTTATAGGACTAATCCTGCCAGGAATCCTGCCTTGTCAGTTCACTGAGCACAGGGGTCTCTTGTCTATGGGGATTCTTCAGTTGTCCAGGTCATGGTTGTCCCAAAGGTGCTTTTTTCAAGAATGTTAGAAGAAATATCCATCTGGTTAAGTTCCAAGTAGGGAGAAAGATACTGGAAATACGAAGGTTGACCAAAAAGATGGTTTATTGGTGAACAGGACCACATGGGTTTGAGGTCCTGGGCAGCTGACCAATTGGTTTGATCAATACATGGATTTTTATACAGTTTATTCTACAGCAGTGGTCACCAACTGGTGGGTGGTCCATGAGAAAATTTTGGTGGGCCACAGAGAAATGTCCCCCCCAAAGCAACCCCTAAAGCAATTAATTGAGGCTGCATGGGAACACAAGGCTGCACCACCCACATGGCCCACCCACCCGCTGACCCCCACCCTTTGGCCGAACGCAAACCTGCAAAAAGCTGTGCAGCCCTCGCTGGCCAGGATGAGGTAATGGTGCTAATGCAGCAAGAGGGGGCTGGTGGCACAGGCAGGCTGAAGCGGCGATGGAGATGGCCGGAAGGTGCAGGAGTGCCACGCTACTTGCATTTATGCGGCACTCCCACACCTTCCAGCTCGCCTCTCCTGGCCTGGGCTCTTCCTCGATGGCTGCGGGCTATAGGGACGGCCTGGGGCAGGAAAAGTACTGTCTGGTGGTAGTGGGAGGGGGTGGAGTGGGCAAGTCTGTGCTCACCATCCAGTTCAAAGGTCCGGAATGGGGCATCGTCGTAGTCAGTTTTCTCGTCCCTCTTGGCGCTCTGCTCTGCTGCCCCCCTCCCCCAGCAATCGCTGCCCGGGGAAGGCACAGGAAAAGCGAGCAGAAACATAGCTCTCACTGGGGCGAAAGAGCTGAGATTGAGGAAAACACAGGCAAGAGAAGACAGAAGCTTCCGCCTTTGAAAAGCGCCGCTTTCTATTGCCTGTGCCTTCCCTGATCTCCGCTCTTTCGCCCCAGCAAGAGTTATATTTCTGCTCACATTTTTTTCCTGTGCCTTCCCTGAGCAGCGATGGCTGGGGCTGTTGGGGGAGGGGCAGCAGAGACGTCAGGGCTGTTCTCCCCCCTCAGCAAGCCAGGCCTGGAGGAATGCGAAGAATTGCGGGTGAGCGCCAGAGAAATGCTTGTTGAAAATGCCAACACATGTTTCCAGTGCACTCTCCTCTGTCCCAAAGTAGGATTGAGTGGGGGGAAGGGAGCAGGGGGAAGGGTAGGAGGGAAGAAGCCCGGCTGGCTTTCCTTTGGCATGGGGCAGGGGAGAGATCAAATGCCCAGACCAAAAGAATGCCAAGGAAGACAAGCTCCTGTTTGTGCAGGCAAGAGCTCGAGCTTTTCTGGGCTCGACACCCCCCCCCCATTGGCCTCCACACAGGGAGGGACCCTTCTCTGCTTGGAAGCAGAGGGAGAAATCTGGAGCTTAGCCTAAGGGAGTCCTCTTCTTGTGTGGAGGCCAAAGGGGGAGATGTTGCCTGGTTATTATGAGCCCATCTTCCTTGGTGCTTCCAGCCCGGCCCTCCTTCCCTCTCCCAACTCCAGGCAGCCACACCTGGCAAAGGAGGGAAAGGTTTCCTCTGACTTGGGGGAGATATGGAATGACAGGAGACCAGATTTGGAGGGTCTCTGCTTTTCTTCCGTTTGATGGGGAGCTGGTTCCTCCCGTCCAGATCTTCCCAGCCTCCAGGCATCATGTGGCTTCTTTTGAATCCCAGCAGTATTAAATCCTCACTCTTTCCCCTTAAAAGATGAGAGAGGCCTTCCTTTCCCTTCGCTCTGCCCCATAGTTATGATTAAGCACTTACAATTTTGTTATAATTAAATAAGCATTTTTATACTTATATATATATATATATATATATATATCTTTATATAGAGAGAGATATTTTATATTAAAATTAATTTTTAAATATTAAATTTATATTTAATATAAAAAATAAAAATGTTATATTAAATATATTATCTTTTTTTAAAAAAATTGGTATTAGTGATCCTCAGGATTTAAAAGTATGAGTTTGGTGGTCCTTGAGGTCCAAAAGGTTGGCGGCCCCTATTCTACAGCATTTTGTAATTTAGAGGCTTGTTTGTGTATTTTGTTATTTAATTTTAATTAGTTTGTTTCGTGAAGGCTGGCAATGAGCTGGGGTTTTTAATCTTGTTTAACAAATGTAATTAATCCTAGATGCTTGGGGTTTTAATCCTATCTTGAATGGTGACAAGGTGACAACCATGAAAAGGTGACCTCAATTTATTTGGAACTATTAAGAAAGACTGAATCTGTTTCCTGGTTTTTAAGAGCATGTTTCTCTATTTCTCATTTAATATCTTTTTAATATTTCTCAACATATTTCATTCTTCTGGGGGAGGGTGCTAACTTTCTACAAGAGGCAACTGGACTTTCTTGGTTTCAACAAAGTCCAGTTGCCTCTTGAAAAAGCACCTTTGGAACAGATGTCTCTTTCATTGCTTTGAAGTGGCCAAGGCTTATGATTGCTCACTGATAGTAAGATTTTAAAAAGGAGGTAGGGGTGTGGATCTTCAATTTATTTTAGTTTTCTCCCATGATAATAAGGCTTAGTAACATGGCACCAGGCTTAAAGTTTAGATATCTGTGGCATGTACTAATTTTATTGTGATCCTGACAAGCTTGGGAAGCTTGAACCTGGGTCTCGTATATACTTCGTTAATTTGTCTCTTTAACTTGGCATTTTGTAGCCCAAATATGCCAACTCACTTTCTGGAGAGCTTAAATGACCTCTCTGCTAAAGATTTCACTTTATGAGCAAGAGTTGGTTGCTGATACTTATTGTTGCATTTTAACTATTTTAATTCCTCAAGGTGCTCTGGCACCCTGCCTGATTTGTAACTCCAGGTTGCAGATATTGCTGATGAAAAGGAAGGTATTCAGACAGCATGGTTTAGGTTTCCATGATGGCTCTGGCTATCATTGATCTTCAGTGTGTATTCCCCCATTTCTAATCTAATGATTGGTATTTAGGGCAGCATTTTGCAAGCAAAGAAGCTTTTTGTATTTTTGTACAGGTAATCCTGGATTTGCAACAGTTCATTTAGTGACCATTCAAAGTTACAATGGTACTGAAAAAAGTGACTTATGACCACTTTTTACACTTACTACCATTGCAGCACCCCCATGGTCATGAGAGGCTGGGTGAGGCGAAGCGCCCTTTGATATGAGTGACATCGAGTTGGCCCCCACCACTGAGCCTTTGTCATCTCTCAGGTGGACTACTATAACTAGCTCTATAGGTGGCTGCTCTTGAAGATGATCAAGAAACTTCAGGGCTTCCAGTTTTGAGCCTCTTCGGTGACAGACAGAAATCCGCGATAGTGCGGAAAGGAAAAGAAGTTATAAAGGACAGAAACAAGATATAGAGAAACAGGGCCTATTTAGAGATAATGGGTGAAAATCTAACTGAAAAAGGGATTCTGTAAAGGTACATAAGATTGTATTGTTATATTAGTATTAAAAATAATTTTAGAAAATTGGAAACAATGTATGATTAAAATGAGGGATAAAATAGCTATTGTATGGAATGTGTTGTTTTAACTACATATATTTATAATCCTTTTTTTTTTCTTTTTAAGAATATAGTGTGTATTTTAAGAATGTACCAAGCAGAATCTGAATTGAAGTTATGTATTATATTAAATGTTAAACTTTAAGGTATATATTGAAGCTTAAATAAGAGTTAAATGGATAAAATTAAAATATATAAAGGTGTCATACTCCAATCAGCAACTACAGGAGAAACTTTGTTTAATGAGAAAAGATAATATGAAATTGAAACAGGACAGACAAAAAGTATAAATATAGGATTTGAATCAAGATGAGATAATTAAAATAAAATTAAGAAAAGTAAAAGAGGGGAGAAGCTATGTAGAAAATGTAAAACAGTAATAAGATATGGAATTGGACATAAAAATGAGAATGAAATTGAATTTGTGTCTGTACGAAGAAATGTAACCCAGGATCATGCTACTTTCAAAAAAGATGTTTTATTTGTATTTCTTTGTGAAAACTCAAATAAAATTTACAAAAAAAAAGAAGAAGGAAAGGATATTTTAAAAAAATTAAACCTGGAATGAGCAAATAAACTACTAATAATATAAGCCAAACAATAAATATAAATTTTGCTGAAAAATATCAATCCAGTAGTTCCTACAATGTATACTCACCAACAGAACCTTGTTTGAATTATTTCCCATTCCTGCTTAATTATTGTACCAGATATAAAACAATACCCTGTATAGGTAGTTCTCAACTTACAACCACAATTGAGTCCAAAATTCTTGTTGCTAAGTGAGATATTTATTAAGTGAGTTTTGCTCCATTTTACAATCTTTCTTGCCAAAGTTGTTAAGGTGAATCACTGTAGTTTATTTAGTGATTTATGAATGTCAAGTGAATCTGGCTTCCCCACTGATTTTGCTTGTCAGAAGGGTACAAAAGCTGACCCAGGACACTGCAACCATTACAAATATGAGTCAGTTGCCAAGCATCTGAATTTTGATCACATGATCATGAAGATACTGCTCACATAAGCAGGTAGATGCTGCAACAGTCGTAAGTGAGAAAACTGATCATGTCACTTTTTCCAGTGGTGCTACAACTTTGAACAGTCACTGAATGAAGTGTTGTAAGATGAGGACTACCTGTATTCTGAAGTCTAATTTGAATGACTGATATGCAGATAAATTTTAATGAGTCACAGTAGTAAAACATCTGATCTCAATGTATTATTCCTGAGGAATACTTACTGGACAAAGTCCACAAGGTATCCGTATCAACCCAGTGGGTTGTATGACTGGACTAATAGCTCTGTAGAGTTTCATGTGCCCGTCTACACTCCCTGCTGATGCTTCCTTTGCAGCAATAATGGTCATTTCTACTTTTCCATCATATATTAAGGTATTTAAAATGGTTTCTATGTCCTCCATTGACAATTCCACCTACAGAATTTAAAAAGCTCAAGTAAGAATACTCTAAGAAAAGGAGTACACTGATGCTTGAAAAGCAGGCTATTGTAAATGCTTCTATAACACAATCAATGCTTAATCGAACAGAACTGTTTTTTTAAATCCAACTGAAACTTCAGCATGATTTCAGCATGAAAGGATGGACTTATTAGTTATTAAGAAATGTGATAAAAGACAATTGCTTTCCAAATACATAGACTATACAAGATCTCTGTGAGGGAGAAGGGTAGTCTAGAAATACAAAATATACATAAATGAAAAGAATAAAGAGGAGTAAAACTGCCAGAGATAGGCTGAATATTCATTTTTAAAAGCAAACATAGTTCAGTCAAAAGCAGAGTTTAAGTCTATTTTAGCAAAAAAAAAAAAAAGAATAAAAAGTGCTTTAAATCAAGTGGGTCATAAAACTCATCTGCTGTATCAGAGCTCTCATTCAGAATTATTTTTGCATATGATGCAAAGAGACCATCTAATACTATTAAAAAATATGCCCACAAAAATATGTCCATACTTTTGTTCTATCAGGTATAATCTGAATTTTCTTCAAAATTGAAATCTTTTATATTCAATTATTATTAAAAGTAATTGCTAAACCCAATAACCAAACATTTCTTCGAGGTACAATCTGAAGCTATACATTTTAATTTAAAAGTCTTGCTTGAAACCAGACTTTTGCTCCTTGCAGGAAAAAAAAATTCTTCCTTTTCTTTTTCATTCTCTCTTTCTTTCCATAGGATCTAATTTTTTATAAATAATACTCAAATGGATATAATCCAATTGACTATTTTTAAAAATGGTTCCTGAAAGCTATTGGCAAATATTAACCATCATTCAGATACACTTTAGAACCATGAATGAGTTACAACCAATAGCAGCAACTTAAGTTTGCATAAAGTGATCATTGCATTAATGCAGTTCAACTAAAGGTGGAGTTTCACATGATCTACAAATACAATTAAAAATGCCTATTATTTTGCAAGATACAATGTTGTTCTTTAAGTACAAAATGAAAAACTAATACACAATGGTCTTACCTTACTGATACCTAACTCACTGATATATTTCCACACCTCATGAGAAGAGGTGAATGAGCTATTTCTTTGTATCATAGGATTCTGCTTGGTTTCTCGAGCTCCTTCAGCCTACAAGATAATACCAATGGAAAAATGATATAGTAAAGCCATCTACATCAGTGGATAACAGTATTTTAGCTGGTATTCATTCAAAGATGTTTGCAAGTAAGTTATTCATACAGTGTTTCAAAGAAGCATTTCTTGGCATCAAAATAATTAACATTTAACAAACATAACTTCGCTGTGGCTTCCTTTTGCTGCACTTCCACATTGACTATTTAACATCAAGAAAAGTTCCTTTTTAAAAACAAATACTGTAAACTTTAAAAAAATGATTTTTTAAAAAATATTTTTCATTCATAGTCTGGAGTCATAATTAATTACCACAATATGTAGCAGGAGATAAAACTGGCCTATTTTTTTTCTTCAGAAAAGTGCTTGCAACTTTCTTCAGAGGATAGAAGAAAGCACAAAGGGATTGGTTGTCTCATGATTTGATTCTATTAAATAATGAGTTAGTTAATAAAGTTGAAATGACACTAATATTGGAATAAAACTACATGAAGTGCTATCAAAAGCTAAAGATAGATAGTATATGTATTCTGGAAAGCAGAATGTTAGAAATTCAAACTGTAAACTAGAATTCTCTGCAATATATTAGGACTTTGGTCTTTTTTTCCTGTCACATAAATCAGCCATATTAAATGTAGGTGCCTAGCTAGCCTGTGGGATCATTACATGAAACATCTGCCTTTTTAGTTATATGCCAGGGATCCCTTCCTTAGGTATAGCTTTAATGTACTTAAACTGTTTAGGAAAAAAATCCATTATAGGAGTCACCTGCTTCATAGCATCCACTATAAGACACCAGATCCAATTTGAATACTCTGAAGAATCACAAAATTATAGAGTTAGAAAGGATCATTAATACTATCCAACTCCTTGCTCTATAAAATTCCTATACAGTCTGAGTTTAAAACATCCAGCTAAAGAGAATCTACAAATCGGATAAAAGTAAGGGTTGGAAAACTTAATAATTGCAATGGTCTGGAGTGAGAGTTGGACAGGTTTAGAGAAAACTTATCAAGTACAGAATATCTATCACCATTACAATTAGTTAGGACACACTGTCCTGCTGTGATTGATCCATTTTTTTCTTACTCCTCCCCCCCTTGCACAGCAGAGAGATTGGAGAGGAAGGAATTACAAGAGAATGAGTATATACACAATGGGGAACAAATTGGGCTTTTTGTGTAGCATGTCTGCAGCTCCCACTGCTGCCAGTACTACCATAATGCTTCTGTGGGTATTCCTCATTACTTACTCCCTTGTAATTCCCTCTTGTAATAGGGAAAAGATGAAAGGAGAAAGACCATGTGCAAATTACACATAAGAATCATTTACCTTAGTCTGAAGAAATTTAAAACACTGTTGATTTAGCACCTCTACAAATTCAGATTCGAAGTCTTGGTCACTATACCAAGCTCCTCCTGTCACAGAACGATCAGGCTGGAGATTGTACAACATGTACACTTTCTTCTTGGATGCCTATTGAGTTAATGACATATTTTATTCAACTCCTCTGCAATATTAAAAACTTTCTAATAAATATCATTAAGAAAATTTATCCCGTATGATACAGGTATTCTCAACTTACAATGATTTGTTTAGTGATTATTTGAAGTTACAATGGCACTGAAAAAAGTGATTTGTGTCCATTTTTCAAATTTATGACTGTTGCGGCATATCCATGGTCACATGATCAAAATTTGGAGGTTGGCAATTAGCATGTATTTATGTTTGCAGTGTCCTGGCGTCATATGATCACCTTCTGTGATCTTCTGACAAGCAAAGTCAATGAAGAAACCAGATTCACTTAACTATGTAAGTTAAGTAGTACTAATAACTGCAGTGATTCACTTAACTGTGGCAAGAAAGATTGTAAAATGGGGCAACACACACTTAATAACGTCTTGCTTAGCAACATAAATTTTTGATTTAATTGTAGTTATAAGCCAAGGATTACCTGTATGTGTTCCAGGGTCTTTGAAAGATATGGTTCAATGGTTCCTAGATCATGTCTGCCAGCTCCTTCAGAACTCTGGGATGTCGTCTCAAGTCCCAGTGATTTGAACTTGTCTGGAGCAGACAGGTGTTCTTTTATCATTTTCTTGCTTAATTTAATTTAATTCCTAGTCTGTCTTTTATAGTTGTTTTTGGTAGGATAGGCTGTATTGCCTTTTTGCATAAAGATAGATGCAAAGAATGAAAAAGCTCTGCTTTCTTTCTAGGCCTGTTACTTCCTTGCCATCTTCTCTCATTAGTGGACTTATTTTTTTTCTTTTTCATTGGTATTGAGCTGGACTGGGCTTTATAGAGTTTCCCAAACTTCTTGAGTTGTTTTCCCCTTTAAAATTTTCATCCATGGAATCCTTCCCAAGCTATTTGTAAGTTTGTTAAAATCAGCTTTTTTAAAGTCTAAGACACTGGTTTGGTTGTTATATTGTTTGTGTTCACATTATATTGAATTTCAATATGACATGGTCACTCTCCCCCAAAGTTCTGGCAATTTCAACCCACTCTATCATTTCTTCTCTATTACTAAGAATTAGCTGTCCCTCTAGTTCCTACTTCTACCTTTTGGATGACAAAGTTATCAGCTAGGCTGATCAGGAACCTGTTTGATCTCTCACTTGTTGCAGAATTTGTCTCCCAGTTGATGTCAGGGTAAAATCCCCCATTACTACTCTGGTGTGTTTCCTACAGACATGTGAACTGGTTAGCAAAAAGTTCATCTCTTTCTTCTGCTTGGTGGGTAGCCTGTAGCATACACTTATGGCAATCTCATTCTTTTTTTTTATATTGACCCATATGCATTTTTGGACACTTTCATTCTTGGTTTTGTGCATTTTTATAGAAATATAGTGATCTTTTACATATAATGCAACTCCACCTTCTCTTTTATTCAGTCTGTTGCTTTTGAAAGTTTGTATCCTTCCATCTGTACATTCCAGTCATGAGTTTCATCCCATCAAGTTTCAGTAATGGCAACTATATGTCATTATGTATTAATACTTCAAATTCACCTTGTTGGTTTCCCAAATTTTTAACGTTTGTATATAGGTATTTCAGTGCTGTATGGCTGACCTTGGATATGTTTCCTGTATCTCCTACTTTATTCCTGAGTTTTCCTTCCTTCCCATCCCTCCCCACCTAATTGTTTGTTTGTCTTGGAGTTTATGCTTGGGATTAGGACCTAAAGATCCTAAGGATTGGTCACCCATCCCCCTCAATTTTAGTTTAAAGCCCTTCTGATAAGTTGAGCCAGTTATTTTCTGAATACATTCTTCATGGTTTTTGTGAGGTGCAGGATATCCCTTGCCAGAAGCCCTTTATGTAGGTAATGCAGACCATGATCTAGGAATCCAAAATTCTCTTGGTGGCACCAATTCTTAAGCTAGTAGTTCATTTCTAAAATTCTGTTCCCTCATTGGATGTTGACCTATCATTGGAAGTAAAGATGAAAACATCCCTTGTGCTCATAACTCCTTAACTTTCTAGCCTAGTTGCTTGTAATGTCTCAATATTGTTTTCAGATGCATTGTTGCATTGTTTATACCTACATGAAGGAGGATAAAGGGGAAGTAATATGTGACCTTGATTAACTTAGGAAGGTTCTCAGCCATATCTTTGATTTTTACTCTAGGGAGACAACATACCTCCCTAGATTGAATGTCTGGTCTACAGATGGCTGGTTCTGTTCCCCTGAGAAGTGAATATCATCAACACTCAACTTATTTTCCTAGGGAAGTGAGCTACTTTTCTTTCTTTCACAGGAGCACTTGATGCCTCTTTTCTAGGGACACTTGATACCTATTTTCTAGGTAGTTAAATGTTTTCTTCCAGGGGAGGCTATGAAATTGATTACGTAGCTCCAAAGGAGTTGGACTAGACAGAAAGTGCAAAAGAGAGCTGTGGTGGCTCAGTGGTTAGAAAGCAATAACTGCTGGCTACTTCTGCTGACTGCCAGCTGCCAGCAGTTCAGCAATTCGATACTCACCGGCTCAAAGTTGACTCAACCTTCCATCCTTCCAAGGTCGATAAAATGAGGACCCCATTGTTGGGGGCAATATGCTGACTCTCTTAGAGAGGGCTGTAAAGCACTGAAGCGGGTTTATAAATCTAAATGCTATTGCTATTGTATTCTTCTGAGTGACATGTTTCCAACAGTCTTCCTTTAAAGGTCATATGCAGGGTCATTTCTTTCAGAAGTTGTTCGTTCCTTATTATGTTCGATTTGGATATAGCCTTCTTATTTAAGTTGGAGTTTCTTATTTTGTAGGTTGAGTTTCAGAGTAGCTAGGGTTGCCTCTAGACCAGGGGTCTGCAACCTTAAACACTCAAAGAGCCATTTGGACCCATTTTCCACAGGAAAAAAAAAACATAGGGAGCCACAAAACCTGGGTAGGCATGGCCAACACAATGTCACTAATTCCTCCCAGTCACATGACCGCCCCTAGCCACGTCTACCCAGCCACAAAACCCTTCTCTCTCACCCTATGTCTCTCTCCATGTCTCTCCCCCTCTTCCTCCCTTCTCCCCCCTCTGTATCTCTCTCCCCCCTTTCTGTATCTCTCCGTGTCTCTCTGTCCCTCTCCCTATCTTCCCCTTTTCCCCTCTATCTCTCTCTTCCCCATCTCTCTGTATCTCTGTGTGTCTTTCTCTCTCTCTCTCTCTCTCTCTGTATCTCTCTCCCTCTCTCTCCCCCTCTCTCTGTGTATCATTTGTGTGTCTATGTCTCTCTCTCTCCTCCCTCTCTCTCTATGTCTGTCTGTCTCTCGGAAAGCCATGACTTAGCCAAGCCAGCAAGCTTGGGGCTCTTGGCTACTCCTTTTATTTCTTTTATCTCCCTTGGAAGCAGTAATCCACCCCAATATAACGGAGGTTAGGAAATCGGCCAGGTATAGCGAAATTTTAGATGACCAAGGGAACTTAAAGAGTAGATAGAAATTGAAAGATCAGGGAATAAAACTGGATTGGTGGACCTATATGCAAATCAAACAAGATATAAAAAAGACAGTGAGGAATTTGGAATATGAAAGTATTGTGTATTGTATGAATAATGAATTACAAAAACTAGATAAAATTTTGATTGGCCCAGATGAGAAATTATTATCAAAATTATATAAACATTTATTAGAATTTGAAAGAGCAGAAGAAATTGTGAAAGGAACGATGATTGCATGGAGTAGGAACTTTGGACATACTACTGATCTGGAAGAATGGGAAAAGATCTGGAATGTGAATTATAAAATAACAAAATCGGCGGCATATAAGGAAAACCAACATAAAATGTTCTATTGTTGACATTTGGCACCCTCAAGACTGGCTAAGATCTACCCAAATTTAAAACCAAATTGTTGGAAGTGTGGACAACAACAAGGTACCTTCTTTCATTCTTGGTGGACATGCCCCAAAGTGAAAAAATACTGGAAAACGATTCAAACGTGGTTAGAAGAGTTAACTAAAAATAAAATTGATTTTGTCCCAGAATTATTCCTTTTAGGAATAATAAAAAAAAACTATAACAGAAAGACAAAATATTTTATATTACATATATTAACAGCAGCAAGAATTTCATATGCTCAGTACTGGAAGAAAAACTCCATACCACCTGAAGGCTGAATAATCAGGCCCATACTTTTCAATATCTTCATAAATGATTTAGATGAGGGAATAGAAGGGAAACTCATGAAATTTGCAGATGACACTAAGCTGGCAGGAATAGACACACTCCAGAAGATAACCTCAGGATCCAAAAAGATCTTGATAGACTTGAACAATGGACCCTAACCAACAACATGAAATGTAATGTGGAGTGCTATCAAGCAAAATCTGGCTCAAAAACAGAAATTATGAGAGGGACCTTGGAGTCCTAGTGGACAATCACTTAAATATGAGCTGGCAGTGTGAGGCAGCAGCCAAAAAAGCTAATACATATAATACATAGTCATATAAACAGAGGCATAGAATCAAGATCACATGAAGTACTAGTACTGCTTTATAAAGCCTTAATAAGGTCACACCTGGAATACTGTATACAGTTATGATCACCACATTACAAAAAAAGAAGGTTGAAGAACTGTTGATTTGAGGTTTGGCTAGTTTAGAAAAAAGAAGCACTAGGGGTGACATGATAGCAGTATTCCAGTATTTGAAAGGTTGCCACAAAGAGGAGGGGGTCAACTTATTTACCAAGGCAGGACAAGAAACAATGGCTGAGAACTAATGAAAGAAAGAAGCAGCCTGGCACTAAGGAGAAACTTCCTAACAGTGAGGACAATTAACCAGTGGAATAGCTTGACATCAGAAGTTGTAGGTACTTCATCACTGGAGGTTTTTAAGAAGAAACTGGATAGTCACTTATCTGAAACGGTATAGGGTCTCCTGCTTGAGCAGGGGCTTGGACTAGAAGATGCCCAAGGGCCCTTCCAGCTCTATTCTGATTGATTCTGACTTGAATGAGGCCAAAACTTGAAATATTTTAA